TCCCGAAACACCCCTTCCCTCCAAGATCGTCATCGGCAACCTCGGGTACCTTCCGCTGTGTACTACGTTGGGTGCTAGCCCCGTCTCTCGGCTCCTTCCACGCGCAACACCTCTGCTACTACGAGCAATCCTGCCACCCCCACCACCAGTAACAGTCCCACTCCCACGAGCGTTACTACTACCACCACCACCAGCAACAGCCCCACTCCCACGAGCGTTACTGCTACTACCACCATCACCACCAGAGGCACTGCCCCCTCCTTGAGAAATANACGAGCAATCCTGCCACCCCCACCACCAGTAACAGTCCCACTCCCACGAGCGTTACTACTACCACCACCACCAGCAACAGCCCCACTCCCACGAGCGTTACTGCTACTACCACCATCACCACCAGAGGCACTGCCCCCTCCTTGAGAAATAACATAAACTCGCGATCTTTCCACCAATCCCAACAAGAGTCTGCCAACTTCCGTTCAAGGGACCGCATGCAATATCAGCCCTGGCTCAAACTGACCACTGACTACTTCCCCACTCGGTTCCACCAACCGGGTGTCATCAGGCACACACGCACCATCAGGCAAAGGGTTGGACACGCCCTTTCCCCTTTGGATCAACGCTCACGTCTTGTCTGCCAGTTCATCCGTAGTGAGGCTTGCCGGTGCACAGCCACTTTCCCCCACCACAAAATCATCGCGATTGTACGACCCAGCAAGCGCCTCTCGCTCGGTATACACCGGACCCAATCGCGAAGGTAGCACCCCGCTCGCACCTATCATATGAACATCGAGATCAGACGGACCAGTCAGCCTGACATCTGGTGCCTCATCCTCTTTGGTCGCAGGCAATGGCAACCGTGACATCAAGTCGACATTTGCATTCTCTCGCCCTGGTCGATACTTCAGCTTATACGTGTACGCCGACAGGAAGTCATACCACTTCTGTACGCGATTGTTTTTCTCTGCCAAACTCCCCAAATTTCGCAAGGGTTGATGGTCACTGTACACTTCAAAGGGGATGCCATAAAATAGTGTTCGATTCTTCTTAATCGCCCACACTATCGCACCCGCTTCCAGCTCAGTCGGACTCCATCTGGTTTCATTCGGGAATGTGGATCGGCTCAAAANGATCGCCCAAACTATCGCACCCGCTTCAAGCTCAGTCGGACTGCATCTGGTTTCATTCGGGAATGTTGATCTGCTCAAAAAGCATAGCGGTCTAATACTCCCATCTCGTTGCTCTTGCTCAATTACGGCTCCCAAGCCCGAAATGGACGCATCAGCGGTTAACCGAAACGGCCGCTCTCCCGAGATCGCACCCTCATAACACGGAATTGCCAAGACCTCAGAACCAGACAGAATATCCACCATCTTCCTCACCACCGCCACATGATCAGCCGTGAACGCAAACTTTGCTTCCTTGTTCAGCATCGCATTGATCGGTTTCAGTTTAGCCGACATGTTCTTCAGGAATTTGCGATAGTACGACAAAGACCCTAACAACGATCGTAGCTGGCTAACATTAGTGGGCATTGGCACTTCACGCAACGGTCTGACCTTTCCCGGGTCCGGCCCGATCCCTTCCGCCGTGACTTGATGTCCCAAAAACGTCACCACCTTCACCCCCAGGTTCGTCTTCTTGGGTGCCAGTTTCAGGTTGAACTTGACCATACGCTCGAAAAACCTCTCCAGGTCGCGCACGTGTTCTGCCCCGTCCCTGGAAAAAACGATCACGTCATCGATAAACAGACGCACACGTTCCAGTCATATGGCCATCACCGAATGGAACCACCCAGGACTACCACTGAGACCTTGCGGCACGGATAAAAATTCGTACAAACCCGTAGACGTGATAACAGCAGTGATCGGAATGCTGTCCTCCTCAATACTGCACTGGAAAAACCCACTGACCAAATCCAGCGTACTGAAGATTTTCGATTAGTCCAATTCCACCAAAATATCCTCCACTATCGGAATGGGCAATTTCGGGATTACACTCATTTTATTGATGCGCTTGTAGTTGACCGTCAACCGCACACCACCGTTAGCTTTTGCGACTACCACCAACGGACTTGCCCAATTNCCCCAAAAACGTCACCACGTTCACCCCTAGGTTCGTCTTATTGGGTGCCAGTTTCAGGTTGAACTTGACCATACGCTCGAAAAACCTCTCCAGGTCGCGCACGTGTTCTGCCCCGTCCCTGGAAAAAACGATCACGTCATCGATAAACAGACGCACACGTTCCAGTCCGTCACATACTCTGGCCATCACCGAATGAAACCACCCAGGACTACTACTGAGACCTTGCGGCACAGATAAAAATTCGTACAACCCCGTAGACGTGATAACAGCAGTGATCGGAATGCTGTCCTCCTCAATACTGCACTGGAAAAACCCACTGACCAAATCCAGCGTACTGAAGATTTTCGATTTGTTCCATTCCGCCAAAATATCCTCCACTATCGGAATGGGCAATTTCGGGGGTACACTCATTTTATTGATGCGCTTGTAGTTGACCGTCAACCGCACACCACCGTTAGCTTGTTTTTCCAATTGCTGTACGATCTCCGCAACACACCCGCCAACAGCAATTTGTCAATTTCGATCTGCACCTTTTCGTTCATAACCGGCGAATAGCGATATGGCCTCTGCCGCACTGGCTGTGCCCCCGGCTTCAAAATGATTCGAAACGGATCCACCGTCACCCGTCCTAAATCCGAACCACCCTTTGAAAAACGATGCTCAAACTTGCACAATAAATCACCTAGTTTGTCAATGTCCTCTGCCTCCCACAGTTTCGCATTGAAGTCGAAATGGACGTCTCGAATGTGCGGAGGCACTCGCTGCCACAACCGCCTGAACGCCACCTGTTGCGCCCCNCTGGTGAAGAGCGATATGGCCTCTGCCGCACTGGCTGTGCGCCCGGCTTCAAAATGATTCGAAACGGATCCACCGTCACCCGTCCTAAATCCGAACCACCCTTTGAAAAACGATGCTCAAACTTGCACAATAAATCACCTAGTTTGTCAATGTCCTCTGCCTCCCACAGTTTCGCATTGAAGTCGAAATGGACGTCTCGAATGTGCGGAGGCACTCGCTGCCACAACCGCCTGAACGCCACCTGTTGCGCCCCATTCAAAGAAGACATAACATCCGCGGGAGGTTCGTCGTTGNAACCCTTTGCCACAACCGCCTGAACGCCACCGGTTGCGCCCCATTCAAGGAAGACATAACATCAGCGGGAGGTTCGATGTTAGGCATGTCAGCCTCTTCACCCTCCTGAACCGCAAATACATTTTTGAATTCCTCATTTTCCACCAAACGAGCATCATCCAAATTTACCAC